TCATGAGAGAAAACTTGTAGCATACCAATAACAACATCAGGAGAAGCTTCCAAATCCTGGCGATTGCCCAAAGCATACAAATGATTATAAGTTCTACTGGTTCCCGAAGTAGTACCTCGACCCGTTGGGGCAGCCAAAGCAGAAGATTGGGCTCTATTACCCCTATTGCCCTTCCTTGTTGATGGGAACTCCGCCTGAATATGTCCTCGCTTACCACATCCATAAAACACACCCTTGCCAAAGCGTCACTCTCTCGGGTGCTTCTTCCCACAAGTGACACACATGATATGATGGAACCAACGATATACCATTTCATTGACACTGAAAATTTTGAACTCTAAAATTCTAATTGGTCTGAAGCCGATGGTCGATCTTAGGCCTGGTGCAGGCGCACTAGCCAAAGATGGAGCATGTCTAGATGACCCTTTGTGAAAGAAAGTCCTGTTTCCATTTCCTGACCGCTGCCGATTAGATTCATTACTTGTGGACTTTGCCCTCTTGTTTTGAAATTCCTCTCTATCCTTCTATTTTTCCTCCTCGACTTGTTGAGCATACACCATTAATAGACATATATCCATATCACTTACCAGTAATGCCGCCCTTCACTCCTTGTTTACATGTCTTGCAACTCCACACACAAATTTTAACATCCTAGCCCTTATTGTTGATACTACCTCTAAAGCATATTGTGACAACAATTTGAAGTTGTATTCTCTCACAGTCATCTTTCCTTGTTTCAAGTTCACAAACTTCTCCACTTTGGCTTCTTTTAGATCCTGCGGAAAAAAATGGTCAAGAAATGCCTCCATGAAGTCATCCCATTTTGCACGAGGTGCCCTTCACCACGAGACAACTCCCACTGTTCATACCAGATACTAGCAGCATCTCCATTTCACTAGTATGCATAACCCTCAGAATCTTCTGAATGAAATTTTGAGGACTCTCATCAACCTTGGACCCTGTAAACACGGGTGGATTCATCCTGAGGAACTCTCGAATTTTGGAGGTGTCGGAGAAGTCATGAGAATTGGAGCTAATAGGACCTGAACGACTAGTCTGACATGCTACAATATGCGTGAGCATCTGAATGGCTTATCTGAACTCAACATTAGTATCATCAGTTCCTGGAGGCTGAATAGATTATCTGAGATCCCTCACAGGAACTGTTGGCACATGTGGAGCCTCGGTACAATCATTTTGGGCAGAAGCATTGACCCATTCCTAGTCTGCATCACATGGTTTGGAGGCACTACTATAGCATTGGTCCCAGTAGGTATCCTAGCATTTGTAGCGGTTCTTTGTCTAGTCGTTCTTTTTGGAGGCATGATCTGAAACAAGCGGTAAGCATGGATTAGAATAATTTCATCAAGTTAAAATGTATCGCATAGACTAGAGTATGAAAGAATAAGAAACAATTCTTAAATGCGATGTAGCCTACTGATTCTAAGTGTGGCGCGCTTCACACCCATAATTAGGACTCTACCATACACGACTTCACAGACTCCCTAAGACACTTGAACTCTGTGCTCTGATACCAATTTTGTCATGCCCCAAGCCGAAACCTTGGACGTGGCACATACCCGACACTATTGCTAGTACGAGTGAACGTTCTGGCATGTCACATAAGCATAAAACTGAACAAAGTGGAATACAATATGAAGATAACCCGACCCCTTAAAAGAGGAAAGTCTTCATCACAATACATTTAGACTACATAAATGTATTAGACTGAAAGTTATAAACCCATATTCTCGAAAAGAAGATCGATTGTTTGACATCTGACAAAATCTGTGAAGCCTCTACTAAATGATAGAAATCTGACGGGACAAGGCCCCGGTATACCCTTAATACTAAAATAAACATAAAAAAACTAATACGTCTAACTTTCCCCTGGTAGGTTGAAGGCTCACTAATAGCAAAAGAGAGGGATATTAGTGATGTGTCTGGTCACGAACCTGAGAGCCTGAACCTACTTCATAAAACAATGTAGCTCCAAAGAACATCAATGCATGGAATGTATTGGTATGCAAAACCAAAAAAAAAAAGGAACCAATAAAGCAAGAAAATACAATAACACAAGTTGAAGTCATATCTGTCAACGTAAAGTGAGTTAAACTTCTTAGTTATTTATGGGAGCAAGTGGTGAACCGATATAAACCACCATGTGAGCGCATGGAGTCTAATCTTGACCTGATCAGCTAAGCCATCCTTTACCTTGACATGACATGATTTGCTAGCAAGGATCCATAATTATCTCTTTTTAGGACACATGAATAAAAACAAGAGTTATCCGTCTTGCGGAAGGATCTCTATCCTACGTCGGTAAACGTAGTTTCGGGCATTGGTCATTTAGACTTATACCTTCTCGGTCAACCAGATAACTCCCTTAAGCTCAGACTGAAAGATAATTATTTTACTAATCATTTATCTTTAAAAAATTTAGCCTTATCAGTTCATGTTCGTGCTTTAGCCATATTAGGCTCATGTCATATATTTGCCACTTTAGGGCTCATATCAAAGATTCAACCATGCTACACTCATAATCTATGATCTAATATAGTTAATTAGCATTTTTGGAGAATCAAAATAGTAGAATCTTGATACACTACTTCAACATCTCATGTCCCAGCTACATTAACACTTTGTGACACTAAAAGGCAAATTGAGATGGTTTTAGCAAGGTTTGCCATTCATATCAAGTAGTTGGAGTTTTCAGCGTGATTCCTTGGAAAATTATTTAGATTCAAACACTATAGTTCACAAGATATAAAGCAGAAAACTAATCGCAAAGACCATAAGCAAAACAATTTGTCCTCTAACTAGTTCCCAGATCGATGAAAATTCCAATAGAATAAGTGTTTAGTTGCTGCCAAATTCCAACTGTTTTTAACAGATGACTTACAAACTTTATAGATTTCATAAATTTCATGTTGTACAGCAGTCACAAATCTGGCAGAAATCCACAGAATTATGTAATTCACAACACTTATCAGATATTCATGAACTAGAGAATCGTTTCCAGATTTCTAGCAACTTGTGAAAAAGAATGCTATTAGTTGATAAAGACGGAAAATTTCCTTCAATCCTAGACCTATTGAGAATAATTCGAATTGGAGGGTAATAAAACTTGAAGAAATAGATAAGAGAAGTAGTTCTACATACCTCAAACGTTTAGAGAACAAGTGATCGAAAGTGAGGGAATATTAGGCTTGAGTCTTTGAGCCGTCTCTTGGATTTCTTGCATCAGTTTTGGAGAAGAAGAAGAGAGGAATGTTGAATGATGAAATAGCGCAAATCAGATTGAAAGGAAGGGTGTTTTTTTAAATCGTTTGGGTTAAATAAAAAAAAAAGGAAAAGATGAGATTGCCCCTAAGGGAGTGCCGATGGGGCTGCCTATTTGGCTTGTTTCTCGTCTTAAACTTAAAGCGTGGGTGTAACATATACCCTCCAATTCTCATGGTGGGGCTGTGAATTGCTTGTAAGTACATGATGTAATTACAAATTTATTACTTTTTAATTTATTATTTTTATTTTTAGTTTTAATTTATTTTTAGTTCTATTATTTAAAATTCTTTTTTATTTTTTATTCTAATTTTTTTTTAATTCTATATTATTTATATTTTATTTCCTTCTCATTCTAAAGATTTACTTCTTGTGATTTCATGTGATTTATCGTATTATTTACTTATTCTATGTTTATTTTTTCCCTTAGCATAATTTTGTTAGTATTTTAGTTTTTAAATTAAAGTAGAATTTATTCTTGAATAAGGTTATAGATTTACGTTTTTCTTTTATTCAAATCATATTTCTGCACGTTATGTTAAAATTTGACATAAAAGTATTATATTAATTTTTTTTAAAATTTTGAATCTAGACTTGTGTTATATTTTCAGTTTCATTTATTTTAGTAGTATTGACTTTATATTTCACATTGCAAGTCATTTATTTTTTAGTTAGACTTGATATATTATTTTTTTGTCAAATATTCTCATAGTTTATGACATGATATTTATAATGTTAATCTTTTTTTTGTCAAACATGTATTTTATGATGTTCATACAAATCTTATATTTTTAGTTTTTATTATTAATTAAAATATACTAATTTTTAAAAAATTCATCATATTAGTGAAGACATATGTTTGTTGATTAATATATTTTTAAAAGTCAATATATATCTTAAATATTTAATTTTATATTATTTATAAAGACCTTATTGTCGAATATAGATTTTTAATTTTAGATATTAACTTTTATTTTAAAATTTAATATATCCTTATGATTACACTTGTGTAACCAAACATGACATTTGTAATTACACAATGTCAAACAAACAAGTCAACATAATTACTAAGGGGTCGTTTGGTGTGAGGGATAGGAATAAATAGTCCTGGGATTAAATTTTGGTGTCTTGTTTGGTTGATATGTTTGGGATAACTTATCCCACCATTTATACCATCTCATATACATGGTGGGATAAGTTATCCCAAGATAACTCTTACCAGGATAATTAATCTTGAGATAACTTGTTCCCAACCAAACAACCCCTAAGTTGTGTAATTACTAGGCTGGTAATTACTACCCTAGTAATTACACCAGTTCCAATTATTAGATGACTTTCCAAACAGACTCTTAGTGAAAATTATAATTTCATCCACTAGATATGAGAAGGATCACGTTCTTATTTAGTGATGAATGAGGGATCCAATGTGTGTTAGATCTTTTCAAGGTTTTTATTTTAGTTGAGGACGTGTTGTTTTAGTTGTTACGTGGGCTGAATCCTGACAACCTTTGAGGTAGCTAGTCATGTCAAATGAGCATGGTTGGCCCGTTGTGATCCTAATTGGATACAGTAGGAGTGGTCTAGTGCCCTTTACAACCTTTTTTTTTTTCAAATCCTAATATTTTGTATATGTGATTTGGTCTGTGAAATAGAGTCTTTCGCTGGATAAGGAGACGGGGGGTAAATGTCTTATGGTCGCAGCACGAAATCTTGGAATTATGTGGGGTGGTACACCTGCGTATTGGGAATGGTTGTCTCACTCGGATGCCAGGTTTTATACTTTTCCGGTTCCTTTCCATATACTCTAAATTTTGAAAAAATTACTTTATTAAATATAATTACTGTGGGAATGTAATTCTTTTTGTAGATTCTCTGAAGTGGCTAAACTTAAGAGAATCAGTTGGCTTGATATCCGAGGAAAAATTGGAACTCGAATGTTGTCAAAAAGAACCAGTTATTGCGCTTATCTAGTGTTCAAGCTAGAAGATGGATTTTATGGCCTTATAAATGTTAAGGCAGTTGTCAGATTTGCTGATACAGAGAGTGACCATGAAGTAAAGAAACGAGCTAAAGTTGTTCATTTTTCTGAACAAGGCTCTAGAGCAAGGCCACCCTTGATTAGAAGTGATGGATGGATGGAATTGAAAATGGGAAACTTTTTCAATGATACTGGAGAAGATGGAGATGTTGAAGCGCGATTGATGCAAATAAGGCAAAATTGGAAACACGGCCTCATTGTACAAGGAATTGAGTTTCGTCCAGAATGAAGAAGAAAATGATCCTCCTCTATGCCTTTCATTTTGGTCTTATTTAGACTCATTTGCCTTTGAATATTTCTTATATGGTATTTCCGGAGGAACGTATCGAGAGAGAATTGTATTTGGTTAGATATTGTGTGGTTGATAAACAAGAATTAGATTTTTTAAATAAGGTATTGAATTTATTATCAAATATGCTCATGTTGCCATTGTAATTGTTCTATATAATACTCTAAATTTATTTGTCTAGTCAAATTTATGAAATAATTTTTTTATGTGTCTCCCCTGTGAGAGGTCAGGTGATGGTCAATAACTCAAGCAAGAAATAGTGAAAAGCGACAGGATTTAAAAGATAAAAACAAATCCTTCATTTTAGATGATATTCAAAGTGAATCAGTGGGAAAAAAAGTGTAGCTGACTTCGTCAGCGATTTCACAGGTATTCAACTCTACCGTGGAACCAGGCATTATTTGGAAAAAAATTGATGGATGATTATGAAGATACTATGTCGAGATATGTTTCCCCGCGAGCTTGCTCCTCTGAAAAGGAGCTTTAATTTAGTCTTTGTGACTCTTGTGTTCTAATTGATGGAGGTAACTAATATGCATTCCATTCCAATCTAACATTTTTTAAAACTTTGTCAAACATATTTTATGGTATGGAATGGGGCCTAAAACACAATCACACGCAGAGGCACGAGTAAGGGGTTGAAGCTTATTCGGGATTTAGTGCTTGTTGAGTTACTAAGATTCGATATAAATAATTTGTTTGTATTAGACTTAATTGAAGTTTAAATAAGTTCGACTCTTTTAATTAGTTAATCTACAAATAAAAGAACGTAGAAGGGCCTAAAATGCCCCTCAACTATTTGAAGTAGTACAAAACTATCATTCATCCACCTTTCGGCCCCCAAAAACCCCTGACGTCAATCTTTTGGTTCAAAAATGCCTCAATATTAACCCTTAGACTCATATTAATCTTTATTTTTAATAGCTCCCCTAAATTAAAATCAGTAAATAATTATTTATTATATTACCTTATCTGATTAAACCCTTCTCAAATTACAATTGGTCCTTTTTCTCAATTATAAACTTTTGTAAGAATTTTGATATGAATTTTTCTAAGTCCATTGATCCAATGAATTATTTTGAAAGATTGCCAGAAGAGTGCATTTTTTAAGTAATTTGAAAAACAACTTCAGCAAATGCAGCAAGATAAAAAAAAAGTAACAAAAGAATTCAAATTTGTTGTAGAATCAGTTAAAATTTGGGGAAGATTTTTTCCCTCTGATTATCTAATTGAAAGATCTAAGTTTCCTCATGTTTGCAACACCAAAAATGAGCTCTTTTTAGTCTTTGTCATTCTCTCATTCTACTTGATGGAGGTAAACTCGTAAATTCCATTTTAATTTGATTATTTTTATGATGTATTTGTTTTGTAATTAGGGGTGTGCACCGGTCTGTTTGGCTTGGTTTAATGTATTACTGATTCAGTTTATCAATTTTCGATCTTTGAGTACACTAAATCAATAACCAAACCAATAAGATATTTTTTTATCGACTTTTGGTTTATTGGTTTTGGTCCTTAATGGTTCTGTTTTCGGTTTAACCAATAAGAAAATGCTTATAAAACAAATATATGACATTTCTAACAATTTGACATGACAAGATCATAAAATGGAAACAATAATAATTAATATGAAATGAACTATAAAAGTGTAACACAAAGAGAAATTAAGAGGAATAGGTTATTACTTTAGGTTTTGACGTTTTGTATAATGTGAAGTATTGAACTTAAAGTCACTATGAAGTGTGAATTCAAAACTAAAGTACAAATGCACCACTTAATAAGGTTTCGAGATTATTATTTAATATTTATGTATGGGTAAATTAGTAAATTGATACAATCTTATTGCGTTATCGATTTACCCAATAACTCAATATTAAAAACCAAAATCGAACCTATAACCCGATAATTTTTTTTATAAAACCATCAAAAACAGATAGCCCAATAGCAATAAACCAATAGCATTTTTTCAATTTGATTTATTGGTGAGTTCGATTTTTGCACACCCCTAGTAACAAATATGCCTAAGTTAGAAAAAATAAGAGTCGGCCTATGTTTAAGTTATTTTAACCATATATGAAATTTGATGATTGAACAAACTTTTGGCCTGATTTCTGATGAAACTGTGAATTCCGTACAAAAAAACTACAGTTGTCCAAAAGCGTGCAAAACCTAATGTGGTTGGTGTGTGGCAGGCCCTTAGCCAATGAAATTGTTGTGTATGTTTGTTCATCCTATATTATGGCTATACTCACATATCCCAAACAAGTTTTTGCAATATAGATTTCACACAAAAAGCAAAAGCCTCTCTCAATGGAAAATTGCTCAAGAATAGTTGAAGAACCTAATAGAGTTATCGTTGTTCCTAGATTTTGCTAGAGTTTGTATTTCAATGGTTAATCTTGTAAGATCTATTCTTAAGCTATAAAGGAAGCGGGTCAATTTTCATATTAGAACACAACAAAGATTAACTAGAGTTAGCTATGTTGGGTTCTTGAAGTCTAGATCGATTAAAGCTAGTTGGTTTAGTGGGCAATAGTGTTATTGCTAAGTAGTAACTGGCAATAGAGTTGCTACAGTAAAGGGGAAGGGATTAAAGAGTTTTAATTCCTTGGTTACAAGAATTTGTAATTTGAATCTTCGCTCTTTTAATAGTTAAATGGAGTTGTGGTTTGAAAATCCTATGAGTACAGGTCGTAGTTTTCTCCTCCATTGAGCAAGGGGGTTTCCACATAAAACTATTGTGTCTGTTTTATTTTGTGTTGTATGTCTTTTGCATTTTTTTTTCCAATGGACCTGGTCCAGTGACTCTTTGTGGACCCATACATTCTATCAATTGGTATCAGAGCCTGGACTCTGATAACGCTCAACTACACTTCTTATAATTCAAAGTGTAGGTGCTCGCTAACAAGTATAAACTCAACGATGAGTTGGGGTTGATCCCACAAGGAGTGATACGGTAAAGAATTTAAGTACGAAGTACTGAAATGTTCCAATTTCTTGGAGAATGGAAGGAAATAACATGTAACATAATGTAAATCTATAGGTTTCAATTATCAATATCAAGAGAGTTTGGTAAGTAATTGTTAATAGAAACAAATAGTACAGAGTTTGAACAAGTATAAAGAGGACCTGTGTGTGAGTAATCGAACACTAATTTCGCTTAATGGGTAATTATCAATTGCTTTATGTCGTTGAATTTCAATGGGTAGGATGGGTTTTAAATGTAACAGCTATCTTTCTGTAATGACCCTCATGGTCATTTCTGTTGTCTTGCCTTCTGTGTATCGTTTAGTAGCATTCCTATAGCGACCCCCAAGTCATTTATGACTTGCGGGGACTGACAGTTCGGTCACCTGGTCGTTCGTTTGGTCTTGGTGCGTAGTTTTTGTGTTTTGGAGCTTATGAACCTTGAACGATCATTTTCGATCAAAAGTTCAAGAAGATAACATCGGAATCCAATTCTGACGATTCCATCAGCTCCGAAAAGGTTATTTTAGGCTAGTAGCATGGTCGACATGACTCTCGAGGTTTTCAGTGTGAGTCGGTGCGATTAGGAGTTTTAGCCTTTGAAATTTGGCTTAAGTTTGACTTTGGTCAACATTCTGAGTAAACACGCTCGGATGAGAATTCCGTCAGCGTGGTTAGCTTTGGAATGTCGAGTTTGGTCTAGATTGATCCTTCTTTTGTGTCTGGAGGTTTTCGATATCCTTCCGAGCCCTTTTGTGGGTTTTGACTTAAAATGGCTTTTGGAAGTGGGACCCACTTTTTATTGAGATGACCTTTGATGGAAATTTCGACTGCGCCGTTGAGTCTGGAGTGTCGAATTTGGTATGGTTGCATATCTCGTTTGCGTGCACGGGGTTCCGAACGAGTTCGGAGCACCCCGTCAGAGTTTTTAGTTTTTGAAAAAAGTTGCAGAAAATCTGCTATTTATTGCAGATATACCAGCCAATTTTCCAAAAGTTCAAACCCTCATCTCTCTTCTCTCAACCGATTTGGGCGATTCAAAAGGCAAAGTTGTGAGATTTTTCGAGTACAATGTGTTGGTGAGCTCGGATAGTGATTTGGAGTCCCCGTTTGAGGTAATTTTCGTAAAATACCTGCTGCCACACCCTTTTTGTGAGCTTGATTTTGGAAGATTTTGGAGACTTGTTTTCTCAGCCATTCTAGGTCCGATTCCAGTGTTTTTTGAGGCTATCTTGATTGGTTTTTCTAGGAGAATATCGTGGTGTTGTCGCATTTTACTGTAGACCGCCCGTTTCTGGTAAAGATGCTGAATTAGCTGTTGTTCCATTTCTAGGTTTTGAGGAAAATTTGGGTTTTGGTTGTATGTTGGTAGTGTGTTGTTCCCGAGCCTTGAATTGTGTCCCATTTTGGGATATGAGCTGGGGGAAACTGGTTAGGACCCACTTTTGGGATTAATTTCGAAATTTCCTGTGCGGGTCCCACGATTCTCGTTTTGACTCCAAAATTGACTCGTCTCCGTTTGTTGTGATTTTAGTGTCTAAACGAATGTAATAACGTTGTGATTCTATTTTTGATAGCGGGGAAGCGTTTTGAGGACGTTCGGAAAGGGAAAACTCCGGAGAAGTAATTTTGGAGCGCGTCTGATTGGCCTACAGGTAGGCTACGGTTTT